TGTTTCGATTTAAAAAAAAAAAACAAAATAGCTGGGCATGGTGGCATGCACCTTTACATAGTCCCAGTTGCTCCAGAGGCTGAGGTGGGAAGATTGTTTGAGCCTAGGAGGTTAAGGCTACAGTGAGCCAAGATCGCACCACTGCACTCCACCCTGGGTAACAGAGTGAGATCCCGTCTCAAAAAAGTTTTTTTTTTTTTCTTTTTTTTTTTTTATAGAAAGGAAGCCATCATCAGGGTAAAAAGAAAGCAGTGGAATTATATGTTAACTCTTTCAAAAAGCCTTTGCTAGGCTGTACGCATATGAACTGTTTCACCTTGGTCTAAGGAGGCCTACACTGAGTCAAGTAGGTTGACTGAGCAGGTACTTGAATTAAGAATTTTATGTATGATTACATCGACTAGGTAAGAGAAGGCGGTCCACTTAGGTTTTGAATTTGTGAATGACACTACCCTTTTCAGAAGCAAAATGTGGGAGGATCTTAGGAGACTATGTAAACAAACAGAAAGAAAAAGAAATGAAAGGCCTTTGACCTTGCTTAGTCTGAGGGAATGTAGTTAAGAAAAAAATAATCTATCTTTTTCATACCTAATAACAGTAACTGCCATCACGTGGGCCAAATATGGATGTGGGCCCTCAAGACAAGATCTAAGGAATTATTATTGGCAAACGGGCAGCGGAATTCAAGTGTACGGAATATAATGACTTATCCATCCCTTTTACAAACACTGCATTTTGGCCACATCTGAGTTAGTACCAAAGGCAAGAAGAGAAAAAAAATTCAAGATCTGAAGAATGAAAATTAAACAGAAGAAACTGATTAGGAGAAGCGGCTCTATGAAATGCATTTTTAAATGAGAGTGAAGCAGTCTAGAGAGGCACGGTTTGGATAGCTAAAATTGTGATGGAATAAAGATATGGGACCAAGAGAATGAAGCAACGTTACCTTGAAATTATAAACTGAGAAAAATTATCACAAGCATACTAGGACATTGTGGCAATAACTATATAGAAAAGCAGACAGAATTTTCTAAAATGCCAAAAGTCTATTTCTATATAGACAGGCTTGCAGATGCTCCTCTAAAGGCGAATTTAACCTTGCAAGGCACTGACCTTTAATCATGCTTGGGTTTATTATTATTATTATAATTCATGATTAGGAGTTATTTACTCAGGAGCTTCTAAGTAGAAAGTCTTTCTTCAGAGCTCACAAATGTCTACAGAGCATAAGGATATCGTTCTTCGTAAACATTTTACTCTCAATTCTATACACCTCTACCTTTCATTCGAAATACTAATTTCTTCAGTTTCTCCCATTAAATATTCTAATGCAGTTGCCTGAGCTTTCCGAATATTCCCTTAAACACAAAAAAAAAAAAAAAAGGAAAGAAAAAGAAGGGGAAGAAGGGGAGGAAGGAAGAAAACAAGGAAGGAAAAGAAGGGAAGAAGAGAAGGAGAAGGAAGGGTATGTGTTAATACCCAGTTAGATCATCGGGCATCTGCTTTTCCATGTAATCTGTACACATATTTGGCAGAAGATTAACTTACAAACTGAATTTGCCCAGGCTCTTCACAGATATTAGTACTCAGATTAACACTTATTTCTATAGTACGCCAATGAAACAGGACACCTCCGCCTCTGCTCTGGAATGAGCTCCTGCAGCATCAACTTCCCAGTGTCCCTTGGGACCCTCCTGACCTAGAGAGTAAGAGAAATCTGATGGCATATTCAGATGACTGTATACTGTGCTGATGAAGGACAGCCAGACATTCCTTAGAATTATCTGCATCTTTGTGTATATCTATTTACATAGAGAAATAAAGTACCTATATTTTGTCCTAATGGATTTGGCTATATAAATATCTCTGCAGCTGTGCTGCACTGACTCAACTACTATCACTTATACCAATAATGTCTTTCTAAATCAAAATTCTAACAAATTAACACAAGGATTCCTTTCTGCCCTACAATTTCATGAACTTGAAACCAAGTTCTGATAGCTAAACAAATTGTATTCTGTTTCACAAATGTGTTGGGGCTAATGCAATTTTTAAAGTTGTAATTGAGAAACATATCTCATTGGGTAACACACATTTGATTTTGTTTAGAAAAACAGTTTGTAAATGGCAGTATTAACAGTCTACAGATATTGAAAAGGTATTAAGAACATACTAAATTCTTGAAAGTGGTAATCCATCCCTGTAGTAAACATTAAAAACCAATTATGATCTCTGTCTTCAGGGATTTGTGTTTGGAAAATATGAAACTATGTCTTCATTTCACCCATATCAGATACGCAAGTAACTGCATCTCTATTAGTCTGGACTCCAGGTAAACCTGGACTAATTTCTATTGTTATCATCTCAATTAAAGCCTCCAAAAGGTCAACTAAGAATGCAGTGTAATTGTTCACAGCCAGACTTCACAGCCAGGAAACTTGGAATCAAGTTCTGGGTAATCTTAACAAAGGTATGTGATCTCACTGGGCCTCTGTTTTCCTATCTGTATAATGGGAAGACTAGCAAACTCTACCATATGGGGCTGTTGTGAACACCAGCACTAAAAAGTGCTTTAAAACCACAAAGTCATGATTGTCATTGTGATATCTAGCCTCTGTATGCTTTGAAAAATATGAAAAACCCTGTTAGAGAAGTTCAGAAAGAGCCCTTTATTTCATGGGCCATGCCCTCCATGGGGACTGAGGAAGTCCCCAACTTCCTCATTTCAGTGAACTTTTTTTTTTCACTCTGCCTTGGGATTTCAATGTATTATTTCATTTTTTTCCTGAGATTGCAACTTTGATTTGACTTTCCCACTGCTAAAATGGAGGCAGTAAAATTTTGCCTGTCTTTAGCCAAGATGGTAAATTGAAGCCTACATTCAAAAGCAGGGTAGATAATTTTAAAAGGGATCTCACACTCTGTGCATACTTCTTCGTCTTCCACTTAGGCCATTCTTATTTCTCTCTCATTACACACACACTCAGGCGCATGCTTGTGAACACACACACACGTGTGCACTGGTATACCTCTTCTGCTCAAAAACAGGGAAGAAATAAGATTAGGATAATAATCCGTTCAACGTTGGTTTTGTTGTTGCTTTACTTTCACCACTATATTAAAAAATAAACCAGCATCAAAGGGGAAACAAAAAGTAAATGCTATTAATTTTTTTTTTCCTTTCCTACATGTTTATGTGCTGAGGAAACTAAACATTAATGTCCGAGGTGTGTTTCATTACACATGGTGCACATACTTACCTGCTTGAATCTTTCACAAAACAGGGTATCAAAGTAGATGTTTTCCTAGACAATCTTTTGAAAGAACGTACTTCATCTCTACCTTACCACAAACAAGAAAACGCACAATTTTCAGCAAGTTACAACATTATTCAAAACAATTTCTTAGCAAACGGTACATTTAAGGAGTTGTATAGAGCAGATTCTGCCCAGCCACTAGTCACCCATCACAGCAATCAGCGTCTCCTTGTCCAAATCATCAGGAATGGCCCAAGACACTTTTAGAGGGAAAATAATACAGCTGTTAGAAGTGACAGCAGGGAACTGATCAGCAAAATTAAATTAAATCAGAATTCTGAGTTCCAGCCTTACAGGCTCCTGTTAAACTACTCTGAGTTTTGAGTAACTAGTTGCATTTAAGGGTGCACTGAGAAAGACGTGATAATGTGAACACAACACACGTACTCTTTTGTCAAAACAATGCGTCATCAAAGGTAAAAATTAACTAGGGAATTTCCAGCATTTTTCTTCATTGTGTACACCTCTCCTTCCTCCAGACCCAAGAGAGGGTGAATCATGTATATCTAGTTATGAAAGGGAAGAAAATCCAGTCACAGACAGAGCAACCCCGCACGGAATCTGGAGAACCCTAGATATCTTTGACTTTGTCCACTCCCTTCCTCTACGCTTTGCTAACGCCCACACCTCTTGCGACGCGACCCAACGTGCCTTCCGCTTACAAACCGCTCCACTAGGCTAGCCCCAACCACAGTGTAACCTTTCCGAAGTTAGTCGTTCGTCCACACTGAGCGCGAATGACCTCAGCCACAACCCAATAGAGCAAGAATCCAGGAGCCTGGCCAGGAGCCGCCGCCAGCGCTGAGCGTCCCCGGGCGCGGCGCTCACGTGGTAGCTGCCCCGGGCACGTGCGTCTCCGACCTTAGGCGGCGAGAGGGAAGCGCCGCCCTGCGCGGGAGAGGCTGGCAGCGACATCAGACGCGTAGAAGGGAGGGGAAGGACCTGGGACATGCAGGGACCCTGCCAGGCGAGAAGCTGTGCGGGTCTAACTGCAGTTCCCTGGGGTGTTCGCAGGAAGGAAGACACAAGTTTGAATGGGGTAGCAACTTAAAAACATTTTTTTCCCAGTTTATTTTAAATGGACAAATGCGTCAGAATCCTATCTAGAAGTGAGTTCTTCCGAGATTGTCACAATCTCCTTCTAGCCTGGAACCCACACTTGAAATTCCTGACAAAAGAGGGAGCCAAGGTGTCCCGAGGTAGCAATGCCATCCTCCTGTATCTTTTGGGGAACCCTGCCCACTCGGTCTCGGACAAGTGCTGGGAAACCGCGCCCTGGGGAAAAAAGACAAGACAAGAGAGAGATAGAGAAGGTAGTGTCCCTTCCAGATGCATAAAGCCCGCTGAGTGTTGGAATTAAAAACCTACAACAGCCAGCTACATTTATGACTTGTTTCCTTTTGCTGGGCGAGGGGAGACGGATCAGAAACTCTAGGGCGTTTTTCCCAACTGGGAGATGGGAGCTTGGCAGTGGATCCCACTAGCACAGAACTCTTAGTCAACTGAGGCTGCAGCGGCTGCCACTTGGAGGTGGCAAAGGGGAAGAAAAGGGGGAAAGAAGGAGGGGCAGCAGAGGGGCTGACGCGGGAGGGATGGAAACAGGTGAGCTCCCACCGCCACCCATCGGAAACCCAGAGCAGTGGCCCCCGGCACGCCACCGTCCCAACCTGGAGAGCCACTTACCGGCTTTACACGGGTCCTTGTAATCTATAGTCTCTGTTTTATCCTCTTCGTTCCCATCAAAAGTGTAATCATAATCGAGGCCAGCGCAGACCCATAAGTCGCGGTAGAAAACAATCCCCGAGGCCACCAGCCACACGAGCATCCTCGGGTAAAGCGTTTCCCACCCCATCCTCCTCCCCCGGAGGAAAAGGAGGGGACGGGACCCGGAGGTTAAGCAGCGGCAGTCCGCGCTGAGGTGCGGGACTTGGGGCACCGGCGCTCTTCTCCCCACCTGGAGGCCCCTCGGAGGGACCGGGGTGCTCAGGTGTCCGGAGACACGTGGATGCCTCCGGGACAGTAGAGAGGGGGAAGCACTGCCTGTTACCCCCAGTCGCAGGGAGAAGTTGGCCAGGGGCCCGCGGGTGGGCGGAGGGCAGGTAAGGAGCTCGGCACTGGCAGGCGGGGAGGACGGCTGCAGGCAAACTCGGCTCTTGCGGCGAAGGCGCTCGCAGCCTGCCAGATCGTCCTTCTGGCCGCCGAACTTCCCGCGGCCGCGGTTCGGCGAGCGGCGCCCCGCGGGCTCAGCTGCCACCAGAGCTCGGGCTCCCGCGCCGCGTCCCCGCTGCTGCCAGGACTCCGCGGCCGAGCGCGAGCCGCCGCCGCCTGAGCCCAAAGCCGCCGCCGCCGCTCGGGGAAGATGAATCCGGTCTGCACATCAGCACATCTGAACTGAAAGGGGAGACCGAGAAAGGGGGTGGGGGGCAGGCATTTCTACGCCGCGAGACCTTAAATGCGTGCAGAAGCCAGCAAAGCAACTGACTGCAAAAGAGCAAAAGTGTGAGGATTTAGGGATGCACTGTTTGCCTTCCCCCCGCCAGCCTGTCTTTTTACCCTCTTCCTAACTTGAAAAAAAAAAAAAAAAAATATTCGCAGCATCTAACCCAATCAGTTGCATCCTGCTTACTTATTCATACAATCAGGGTCAGGATCCGGGCCACAGCCTCCTCTCTTGACTTCTTTTGATAGCCTTAGACAAACAAACAGACAGGAGCGCGCTGACGATTCAATTTACATTTTACCAAAGATAAAATGAATATATATTATGCATCTGTGCCCGCTAACAGCAATTAATAGATGATGTACGTGTCAGTTGAGAGTGCCAGACAGGGGGTGGCGCGAAGGATCGTGACAACTTAGCTGCAAATCCCTATTTCCCCTCCCCCCAAATAAACAGCGAGTGTGTGTTTCTTTCCTTTGCTGCTGTTTAACCTTAGAGTAGCGCAGGAATGAAGGAAAAGTGTCCGAGTCTTCGCGATTTTGGTAAGAAAATAAACAGACTACTGTAAAAGTCTCCTAACCAGCAAAGTTTTGCTAAGAACTAAGATCCTGAGAACTGCAATTTAAGGAAAAAAAAAAAAAATCCAAAATCGAGTTACAGATTGCAGCAGCAGGAAACGCTAAGACCTTGCTGATGGGCTGGCGTTATGGCTCACGTGGGCGCAGGAAGGGAAGTTGGATGGAATACTCGGGAAGCAAATTTTCTATGACAGTTCTGGCGCCCATGAGCAGAGTTGCTCAGTATCCTTCGGCTTCAGTTGTTTTACTTCTTCAGAGGAGAGGGTGTAAAACCTGGCAGGAGGGTCAGCGAGGTAAACCACATGTCAGCCGAGCAGACTCAAGACAAACACAGGTTGTGGGAAATTGGGGAGGAAAAAATCAGAGGAAATCTCTGCAAAACCCCTGTTGTGAGCAATTCCAAGGTTTCCCCACATCTGCAAGCAGTTTCCAAAATAGGTGAGATGACTTCTCCCCCAACAAGCTTCCAAGGAACTGGTGATTGGGAGGTTTCCTTTTCCAACTAAATCTTTTCCAACTAAACTGTCACTTTAGCAAGGACTTGCTAAAAAAAAAAAAAAAAAAACTTTATATTTTTATTTGACTAGTGTTCCCCCATTCAAGTTATCATCTAGAGGAAAATGTGAAGGCAACCACACACACACACACACACACACACACACACACACACACACCTTTGACATCTTTGGTTTGGAAGATTTTCCTGGGTTTTATTCATGTTTACGAGAGAAAAGTAAGAACCCAATCTTGAAGAAGTACCAACCATTTTCAACTTAAACTAAAAGTACAGGAAAGCTAGGTGGAACGGAACTGATCCAATGTTTTTTGCAAAACTGGGTCTTTCTCAGAGGCATTGCAATGATGGAGCCTCCCTTCCATAGAGCTTAAGATCTGAATGCCCAGGATACAGAGCAGAAGTAGATTTTTTTAAAGCACATGTTCAATAAGCAGGTAGAGTCGTTTGATTTTGAAATTTCTTGCTGAGTCATTCTCTTAGCCATCCAAAGAAAAAAGTTTGCATAATTAATAATAGTGTTGCCCTAGTGCAGGGCTCAAGAAGAATGTATCCTGTTTAGCACATCTGAAAGCCCAGAAAATGCAAATGTCATCTATAGGATTCCTGCTCTTCAGCTGCTGACAGTGTCCTCATTCCCTGCCCCAAAACCTTAAAAATATTCCTTGTTAATCTAAAGGCCTGCCAACATCTCCTTAGACTATTTTATCATGTGTAAATTTGCAAGAGTTTTTACCTAGGGTTTGCCTAAACATCACTTACTATGCAGAATAAATATGATTTTTTCATTGATTTTGGGGGAAAAAGTACTGCATAAGGATATCAGCCTCATTATGTATAATGACACCTTTTTTTTTTTTACAGCTGTTCATTACCTGGCTTTATAATTTTGTAAATTTGTAGTCAAGAGAGTTAAAATGATTAACATAATAGAACCTCAAGTCAAAATAAAGGAATGTTTCTTTATAGCTAACATACTTGCAGAGAATACTTATAATATCTAGGCTTAATCCCTGTTTATTTTTAAATATTAAATCTAACTCTAGGTTTGTAATAATAAAATTCATTTTTTTCTTTAAACTAATTTTGTCTCTATAGTTTCTATTATTACAAACCAAAAATAGATTTTCCCTGTCCATGAAAGAAACATAAATTCACAAGAATATGTTTATGAGCAGAGAGTTGATTGCTCTGTCATAGTATAGCTGCAGACACGCAGTAGGTGAATTCAATCTCCTCAGGAAGACAAAAAGGAGAAAATGATTCCCTCAGTAAGACATGTGCTGATGTTGTCCTGGCTTTTAGCAGGCAAGCTCTCTTGATCGACATTGCCACCTGCAACAGGACCCCATCACTCTCAGCAATGATAGGGAATGAAGTCACCCAAGACGGGCCACAAAAGGCAAGCTTTATTCCAATTGGTATATCGTATTGGAAATACCAATTAAAATAACCTTCCCTTGTAGAAAATATCAATTAGACATGTATACTTTCTAATCTAGATTTGTGCAAAGCTAGATGTGATCATTTTGTGTTACAAAACCAAGTAATACATGAAATAACATATTTCCCTCTTGTCCCTTGTGAAAAAAAATAATAAATCAGACATAAATAAAATGTGAGTTTTCCTCTTCCCTCTGGTCTCAATTGCTCCTCTGAACTAAAAACTGTTAACTTGTTAACCAAATACCATCTATATAGATTGACTTCTCAAAAACAGCAAGTATTAGCAATTTCATATTAATTCAAATCTATAAACATTCTTCTTTTGTTAATGCTACCGTTATTCTGAATGAACCCATATGCAATTCAGTCAAATACTTTTAAGGGAAGAGATGATTCTTAGAGCCTCAATGGACTTTGATTTCCACATTTTCTTGTTTTTAATATTTCACTCTATGATTTTTATATTGATATATATATATGTGTGTATGTATATGTATATGTATATGTACATATCACTACTGAAGAATGCTCCCAACTCTTCAGAATTAGGATGACCCTACAGCATTCAAAATCTGCCCTTATTGCTATTTCCTAAATAACAAAAAAAGTATCTGAGAAAGAATGAAAAAAGTAAGCACAGAGCCATAATTTCTTCATTCGCAAAGGTGTGGAAGAAAGTTTTGTTTGTTAAGAAAAGGCATACACCTCACCAGGATATAAAAGGAGCCTTCCTTCTGCAATGGATTTCAGATTCTAATCTGAGTAGGGGGCCCCTAAAGGGAATTTCTGGTTGTTCTTTAGCAGTTTACTGTACTAGTCTTTCTCTCTACCATGCCCTTCCTGTGGGGCACAGAGATGCCCTTCGGTTTTATAGCTTTTATCTACTCCAAGCCATTTAACTCTTACTTTCATCCCATTCTGATGTGACTCTCTACTGGACACATACGGCTTTATTTTATGAACTTTCCTTCAACTCTAGATAGCATGGCCTAATTCTATAGATCAGTGACCCAAAGTGTGTTGCTTAAACTGCTGAGAATACATAAAGTCATTTTAGGTAATGCAGTAGTAAACTACATATAGATGTGTATATGTATCAGAAAAAAATAGTTATTGAATTTGCCTTTGCATATGTAGTTCTTACAATGATGCTTAAGATAAAAAACAAGCCATTTGGTTTGTGAAATTAAGCCAATAATGAAGGTAGCATGGGAAGGTTAACTAATGTTTGATAAACACTGATCTAGTTCAGCTCCTGTCCTCCACTACACCACACTCCCTGTGGGTTCTTGCCATTTGCCTCCTCCAACACACCTGCCCCACAGTGGATTCCTTCTCTTACCTGCTTATCACTCATTTTCACTTGCAGTCCTTCAACACAAAAGGGCTGTGTCTGGACAGGGAAACTGCATGTATTTATTATTGGCACTTTGAGTTTGTTTGCTGTTTCAGGCATTACTTACTATATCACTCTTCAGAATATCCACCGATTTGTGCATTCGAAAGCCATATATAATTGTTTAATGCCATCCAGAAATGATTGTATTCTTCCTTTGGGTAACAGCTTGACCAAAGTGAAATGAGAGCAATGGAATGGAACAAGAAGGGGGTCTTCCCATTTCCAACCTAATGGGACTCAAAGACTTGAATCCACTAGTAGGTTTTCAATTCTATAACTTCTGCTCCTTTGCTGAATCTCACTGTTGTCCTTTAAACACCTAGCTAAGGAGGCACAAGAGTATGGAGCTTGGAAATAGACCTGCACTGCAATTTCCAGGTCTCTACTTTCTAGCTTGGTAACTTCAGACCCGCTTTTGTAACCTCAAGTGTCCGCAGTTTTCTCATTCATAAAATGACATAATTTTAGGGATAGGGATATTTCATACAGTTATTACAGAGAATAATTTAATTAATATATGTGGTATGCTTCATAGTTCCTCGCATAAAAAACATATACTAGTTCCTAGTACATAAACATTTTTGGTAACTGTTTGCTATTATTATCATTTTAAGTGAGTCAAATTATTTCTAGTCCCTCTAGCTACATTATTTGAAAAGAGGCTTCTCTTTCTTCACTTGACCTAAAGCAGAATAACTCATTCAAAGTTATGCTGGAGAGTGGTGATGAACAAATCAGTTAAGAGCCAGAATTCAGCCACAAAAAAACATAGACTTAATAGTTACTTTCCCATTCAGTAGCTATCTTGTTGCCTTGAGCAAGTTACTTCCTTAGTTATACTCTTCTGGTTTTTGAAACATAAATGAAAGATCTAATAGGGTTAAACTGAGAATTAGGTAAAATTGTGCATATAATGTACTCCCTAGCAGATGTAAGCTAGCAACGTTTAAAAAAATTTGGTTATTATTATTAATTGGTATAGTTTTTTAGTGATCGGCAAAACCTACACATAGTTTTTCCACTGGCAGGCAAGAAATTCAGCATGCACACACACACACACACACACACACACACACACACACACACAAATCTGGTTACAGATTAAATAAAACTTCGATAATTTTATTTGAAAAAATCCACTAATAATA